AGAAAATAGTGACAAGAATTTTTTTTTTGTTTAAAGACTCTTTAAAAAAAAAAATATATATATATGTTATTGATTTTTTTTCAGAGAAGAAGAGAGAGAAAACCAGAAACATCAATGAGAAACATCGATCAGCTGCCTCTTGTACACCCCCTACTGGGGATGAGCCCACAACTAAGGGACATGCCCTTGACCGGAATCGAACCTGGGACCCTTTAGTCCTCAGGTCGAGGCTCTACCCACGGAGCCACACCAGTTAGGGCTGTTTAAATTCTCTGGGATGAGGCAGGTTCTCCAGGACCCTGCCTGCGTCCTCAAGGGAAGTGCGAGGTCTTGGAACTGCTCTCACTGGCCCGGCCAACTTCTTCCCAGTGGCTGGGTCTCCAGCTGGATCCTGGGAAGGCCCCCCCCTACCCCCAGGGCCAAGAACCCAAAGGACAGAGGGAGCTAAGAGAATCAGCCCGGACTCTGTGCCTGGCACTGGCTCCGCAGCGGGGATATAAAAAACCCAGACATCACCTCATTGCTGTTTCATCAGAAAAGGAGAACACATCCCTGCAGAGGACAGGTTCCGGCTGGCTGTGGCCGGAGGGAGCGGAGCGAGCAGGGGGGAGTTCTCCCGAGCCTGGGGGCCAGAGGGCAGGCAGCGAGGGAGGGTCAGCTTGGTTACCATAACAACTTCGCTCCCAGGCCCGGCGTGGGCCCCTCAGGTGCTCCTCAGACCCTGTGCCACGGGCACCTGCTCCAAAGGAGAGTGGAGGGGCCTGTCTGAGGTCATGGAGCTGCAGTCAGGATCTGCCCCCCCCCGCCTGACTGACTCCTGAGTCTGTGTTCTCCGCTTCCAGGGAGGCCAGAGACTCCTGGCCTAAGCACAATTTCCTTTCTTTTTCTTTTTTTAAAATATATGTTTTAAAATATATTTTATTGATTTTTTAGAGAGGAAGAGAGAGGGATAGAGAGTTAGAAACATCGATGAGAGATAATCATCGATCAGCTGCCTCCTGCACACTCACCACTGGGGATGCACCCGCAACCAAGCAAGGTACATGCCCCTGACTGGAATCAAACCTGGGACCTTTCATTCCACAGGCCGAGGCTCTACTCACTGAGCCAAACCTGTTTTGGCTTTTTTTTTTTTTTTTTTTTTAATATATTTTATTGAAATGTTGTGCAACCATGACCACTACCAACTTCTTCTTCTTCTTTTTTTAAAAATATATTTTGATTTTTTACAGAGAGGAAGGGAAAGGGAAAGTTAGAAACATTGATCAGCTGCCTCCTGCACACCCCCCATTGGGGATGTGCCCATAACTAAGGGACATGCCCTTGACCGGAATCGAACCTGGGACCCCTCAGTCTGCTGGCTGATGCTCTAACCATTGAGCAAAACCAGCCAGGCTGCTACCCACTTCTAAATGAAATCCTTTTAATACCCTTGAGGGGTTGACTATGGGCTGCCTGCCTGGGACTTTCACGTTGCAGGCAGCATATACTCTCCTGTATCCCCCCACCACGGGGCTAATGGAAGAGGGAAGATGACTCCCTTTCCACAGAGGAAACGGCTCAGCAGATCAAGACTACTGACAGACACCTGATACCCTGTCTGAAAACCCACCCAGCTTCTTGTGAATCCCCTCCTCCCTCTTCACACCTGTGCACCTGTCCCCTGCTGTCCTGGTCCCCTAGTGGGGGGGGGGGAGACTCCCACCATTGTGCTTCCCCATGGAGTGCCTTTCCTGGGAGCGGGTGCGGGTGCGGGCGGGGCGGCAGGAGGCTGCAGAGGCTGCTGCCGGCCTGGCTGAGTCCCTGGCGGCAGGCGGCTCTGCAGAGGGAGGAGCCTGTGAGGAGGTGCTGAGTTGGGCTCAGAGGGCCCAGCTCCAGCCGCAGTGAGAGCATGCCCAGAGTCAGCGGGCGTGAGGCTCCATGCTGAGTGGGTCCTGCAGCGTGGGCCACTGGGGGAGACACGTGGGGGTAAGAAGAGCCTTCAGGCCCGGCCAAGGTGTCGCTCAGCAATGGAGCATGGACCCAGGAACCAAGAGGTCGCCAGTTCAGTGTCACCGGTTCGATTCCAAGTCAGGGCACCTGGAGGCAGCTGCTTGAGGATTCTCTCTCATCATGGATGTTTGTCTCTCTCTCCCTCTCCCTTCCTCTCTGAAATTACAAGACCAGTGCTCTAACCCCTGAGCTATGGAGCCTTACTCCTAACCCCTGAGCTATGGAGCCTTACTCCTCTCTGAAATAAAAATTAAAAAAAGGCCGAAACCCGTTTGGCTCAGTGGATAGAGCGTCGGCCTGCAGACTGAAAGGTCCCGGGTTCGATTCCGGTCAAGGGCATGTACCTTGGTAGCAGGACATCCCCAGTGGGGGCTGTGCAGGAGGCAGCTGGTTGATGTATCTCTCTCATCGATGTTTCTAGCTCTCTATCCCTCTCTCTTCCTCTCTGTAAGAAATCAATAAAATATATTTTTTTAAAAAAGTATTAGAAGAAAAAGAAGAGAAGAAGGAGGAGGAGGAGGAGGAGGAACTCCTGTGGCCAAACAAGTTTGGAGAAGCCGGCACCCTCCAGTCATCTCTGTTCATCCCCTGTGCTCGTCCCCTGTGCTCATGGCCTCGCCCAGACTCCCAGGGCCCTAATAAGCCACAAAACGCCCTCTTTTTCTCTCTCCTTTTTGGGCGAACACGTATCATCCGGAAGTAAGTGCCTTGGGAAACGCTGGGCTGGAATTTGGTAAGGACCTGAGCATTCCGGTCCCAGGGATCCAAGTTTCGAGGTGTATGGAGTTCTGTAACTTCCGTTCCCTACCCCGGGGCACACGCTCAGTAAACGCGTGATGGGTAAGAATGAACAAGGCAAACCAGACTCCCTCGCGCCCCCGCCTCCTCCCAGCACACTCCCTTCCAGTGAAACGTGGTTAAAGGGACCGCACCATCCCTTCCGCATGGCTCAGGGTCTGCTTGGAAGGTGGGGGGGAGAGGGGGCAGGTGGGCTGAGCCTAAGGTGGAAAGCACGGAGAAAGGAACTGGGAAAGGGAATCCCGCAGAAGGGAGACCAGTGCATATTGGGAAGGCAGCGGGGGGTGGGGTGGGGGGGTTAAGGTGACTGGCTAAGGGGGGCTCAGATCTGGGAGCGGAGTCTACACACACGGACTCTAGGGGGCCCGTTCCCAGCTTCAGCTCCCAGGGTAGGGGGGGCAGGACACTCCCAGGTGTGTGTGTGTTAAGAGAACTTCACAGAAAACCGGGGACGGGACCCCCACCAGAAAGTCAAGGGGCTGGGTCCTCGGCTCCACCCACCCTCTCCTCCCCAGGTCCGCATCCGCACAGCCCAAAGGTCGGGCAACAGCGGATCTGCCAACCTCCTTCCCCTCCTGGCAACGCGGAGGTTAACCCCTTCCTCCCGGAGGAGGAGCGGGCGCTGTCCCCGGTGCTGAAGCGCCACCCTCTGCAGTGCAGCCGGGACTCCTAAGGCATTGTGCACCAAAGCAGGAAAGGTTAAACCACACCGGCAGCCCCAGGCACCCTCCCCCGCCCCCAAGGTCAAGGTCCCCTTTGTATATCTGACCCTCCAATGGGGCTTATGGTATCTAACAGGCAGTGTACCCCGCCACTTCCCTGGGCTGAGAAGGGATGCCCACGGGGCACCCACTTAATCTGCAGTGGGGGTGGGGGGAGGGAGAGAGGCCGAGCTGAAGGTGAGGAGGCGGAAAGGGGGGAGCTAGGAAGATGGGAAAGCAGCAGTGGGGGGGGGCAGCACACGGGTTCGGCTCCCCTAATCCAGCCAGAGCCCCCCACTCTCCCCTAAGCTGAAGCTGCTCAGGAGCGAGCTAGGGGTCTTAAGTTGCAGCCTGAGGTGGGGGGGGGGGCGGGGCGAAGAGATACAACGTGTCCAAGGTCATCTGGCCAGCAGACTGCGGAGGGACCACCACCGGGGGAGGAAGAGCCTGGCCCTGAGTGGCCACCAGCTCACTTGTCACCCCCCCTCCCCTCCTGCACCCTCTAGGCGGGCACCAGCTCTCCCACCGGCATGCCCTGTCCCCAGCCGCACCCCCACTCCGGAGCCTCACCCGCAGCAGCGGGGTCCCTCCGGTGGTGTCTGTGCGGGAGACCCTCTGCCCCTTTCCCCAGGGTCCTTCTCCCCGGGGCCAGCTGTGGGGTCTCCCGCCTTCCGTCCCCCCAGACCACTGGGCCCCTCCTCTGGGCTTCACTCGCCCCAGGCTCCCCTCAACTTCAGGTTCCCCTCCCCTCTTCCGGGGGGACTGCCGAGCTTCTTGGGGGCCCCTTAGCTTCTTGGGGCCACCCTGGAACTCCGCTCCGAGGCCCTCTTCTCTGTCCTCCGGGGTGTCCGCCCTGCCTCCACCCAGGTCTGCCTCCCCCTACTCCCCCGTGACTGCAGACACTGCACCCCTTGCCCCGAGTGCCTCTCTAACGATGAGGAAAACCTCGGGACCCCCGTTTCACGCAGCAGCCCCCTCGCCCTACTGACTATGCAGTGTTCCGTCTCCACCCCCAAGGCGCCTGCCCCCGTTCCCAGCCACTCTCCCCGTTCCCCGTCCTCTCCGCATCCCTGGCCCTTCTGGGATTCCGAAACCAGCAGCAGCGGGGTCTTCCGATTCGCACCCGGGGGGTCCCCGCCGCCGGTCCACTCTGGGGATCCTCTACCCCCTGAGCTGACCTGGTCCAGGCTTTTTTTTTGGGGGGGGGAGGGGGCTCTGACTCCTCCGTGCAGTCATTCCCCCTTCCCTCCCGGTCTCCCCGCCCCGCCCCTCTCACTGCGGCGAAGCCGGCCGCCCCGGGGCAGCAGGGGAGGCGGCGGGCGGGGCCCTCCTCCCCCGCACCCCCCCCCCAAGTCCGGGGAGGGGAAGGGGGTGGACTCGGCCCCGCTGCTATAAAAGGGCGGCCGTCCCGGAGCTGCCGCAGTGCCGCCCGCCCGCCCCGTCCCGGCCCCGGCGCCCGCCCGCCCGCCCGCCCGCTCCGCTCCCGCAGCCCGACCTGCTCCCGCCGCGATGAGCTTCGCCGGCGCCGACGCGCTGCTGGGCGCCCCGTTCGCGCCGCTGCCCGGGGGCGGCGGCCTGCACTTCGCGCTGGGCCGGAAGGGCGCGCGCTCGGCCGCCGGCTCGTCCAGCGGCTTCCACTCGTGGGCGCGTTCGGCGTCCGTGAGCTCCGCCGCGTCCGCCTCGCTGGACACGCTGAGCAACGGGCCTGAGGGCGGCGCGATGGCGGCGGGGTCGGGGCGCAGCAGCAGCGAGAAGGAGCAGCTGCAGGTGCTCAACGACCGCTTCGCGGGCTACATCGACAAGGTGCGGCAGCTGGAGGCGCACCACCGCAGCCTGGAGGGCGAGGCGGCGGCGCTGCGGCAGCAGCAGGCGGGCCGCGCGGCCATGGGCGAGCTGTACGAGCGCGAGGTGCGCGAGATGCGCGGCGCCGTGCTGCGCCTGCGCGCGGCGCGCGGCCAGCTGCGCCTGGAGCAGGAGCACCTGCTGGAGGACATCACGCACGCGCGCCAGCGCCTGGACGACGAGGCCCGGCAGCGCGAGGAGGCCGAGGCGGCGGCGCGCGCGCTGCTCCGCTTCGCGCAGGAGGCCGCGGCGGCGCGCGCCGAGCTGCAGAAGAAGGCGCAGGCGCTGCAGGAGGAGTGCGGCCACCTGCGGCGCCGCCACCGCGAGGAGGTGGCCGAGCTGCTGGGCCAGCTCCAGGGCTGGGGCGCCGCGCAGGCCCAGGCGCAGGCCGACGCGCGCGACGCCCTCAAGTGCGACGTGACGTCCGCGCTGCGCGAGATCCGCGCGCAGCTCGAGGGCCACGCGGTGCAGAGCACGCTGCAGTCGGAGGAGTGGTTCCGAGGTTCGAAAGCGCGCGCGCGCGCGTATGGAGGGGATCGGGTGGGGGAAGGGGCTCCCCCTGCTGGTCAGGCGGCGAGGGGCGAGAGGCGGGGTGGGTGGTTTGATAGACTACAGTGTTTCCCAAACTTTTGACCTAAGTGTACCCCTTCTATAATTTTCCTAACGCTGAGCACCCCTCGTACTCATGAGAACGTAGAATTAGGCGCAGCTAAGCACGGTGCAGTGCATATCCCCGCCAAACTCTTCCCGTACCCCTGGGGGGACGCGTACCACACTTTGGGAAACACTGCTGAGTGTAGAGAGTACATGGCTCAGCTTCCCCAGGCAAAGGACATAACCCTTAGTGCAAGAACGGTTTCCCTCTGGGTTTCAGGTGGGATGTCTCCAACCCCCGTCAAGCAGGACCTCACCTTTGGCTGCCCTCCCCCAGGGGCCTTATGCTTGCCCTTTAACTGTGGGGCCCTCCTGGTCTCCCCCTCGCCCCCTATAGTTGGGTAAGTCCACTCGGAGGCTCCTGTGCATCAGGCTCTCTCCATAGCTCTGAAGGACGAGCACTGGGGACTCTTTGACCTCAAAGTAACTTGCCTTCTCTGCCCTGTTGCCAGCCCACCTTTTTCTGGACACTGCAGGAGTCGGACTCCATCCTTCTGATCCCCATCAGGCCCCTCCTCACTCATTGCGGGAGAAGTGGGGCACTCACATCCTTTCTCGGGGGGGAGGGGGAGGACACCATCACTACAAACAGTTGGCACCTGAGACCGAGGAGGCTCCCCTCCCCTCTTCCGGGGGGGGGGGCTGCCGGGGAAAGGGGCCAGTGAACCCTACAATGTCCCCTCTCCTCGCCTGGGAAACGGGGAGCCTCTCAAATCCGAAACCCTCCCCCAACTCCTAGCTGCCCTGAGTCAGCGAGATTGCAGCTGCAGCAGCTCTGGAGCTGTTTCAGGCAGCTGCAGGGTGACCTTGGCCGGTGCTGCTTTTCATTTCTATCTTATTTGGTTTTCATTTCTATTTTATTTGGGTTGAAAGATGGGGGTGGACCACCTGGGTTATTACCCTGGGAAGCTCCCTGATTCACCCTCCTACCCCCCCCAATGTAAAACTTGATGCATTGTTCTTGGGGAGATGCAGGGGTTTTAATGATTTCCAAGCGGGTCTGTGATCACAGTGGGTAAGAACTCTCACCCATCAGGATGGTTCCTAACTCTTGGCCAGCATTACAGGGGAAGCGGGGAAAGCTGGGGTGTGGATGCACGCTTTTCCCGTTTTTTGTTTCGGTTTTTTCCACTTCTCTGCAGCAAGGCTCCTCCCGGAGCAAACCCCCCTTGTTCGCTCTGGCTTTGCCCTTCAAACCAGCCTCAGCTTCTGGTCCATCCAGCTGGCTTCCCCTCTTTCTCCCACACTCCCAACGCAGCCATGGGTGTCTCTATCTCAAGATGCAGAATGCTCATTTTCAGGAGATGGGAGACTCGGTCTCTAGATCTCGGCCGGCCCCGGAAGGCCTGGGAACCAGCAGCCCTTTGCTTTCGGGGGGGCCAGGTGTGGCTGCCCTGGGCTCCGGGGGCTCCTGTGCAGCCAGGTGGAGGAAGGGGCAGAGGAGCTGGCACACAGGCCCCGGGCGCTGCAGTGACCTTGGGCTCTGCACAGCAGAAACCTGCACGGAAGGGGCTGTGGCTACATGGTGGCTCACGGCACCCTCCCGTCCTCAAAGGCTCGTGCGCTTATTCCGCATAAGTTCAGGGTTAAACTCGGAGCCGGCCCCAAGTTCAGAGTGAAGCCAGGTTTCACGTCGGAACCCCCAGCCCTGCCAGCCCTTGCTGGGGAGCTAGACCAGGCATTAGGACAGGAAATGGGGGTTTCCTCTTTTCCCCTGCCCTGTAGGGTTTCTGGATCCTGAGTCAAGGAGACAGTCTAACCTCTGGAGCCATGTAGACACTAGATTTGGGTCCCACCCAGCTCTGCCACTCACCAGCTGGGTAGCCTTGGGCAGTAGTCTTTGCCTATCATGTAAGATAGGATGAGTTAAGCATCCAGGCCGGCACTCAGCACCCAGTAGGTCCTCCACCTGTGTGTGTCCCCCTCTGGAGCCGGGCAGCGGAACACGTTTCCCGGTGTGTCTCACTCCACGCTGTCCCCTTCCCCCCCAGTGAGGCTGGACCGGCTGTCCGAGGCGGCCAAGGTGAACACAGACGCCATGCGCTCGGCACAGGAGGAGATAAGTGAGTACCGGCGCCAGCTGCAGGCCAGGACCACCGAGCTGGAGGCCCTCAAAGGCACCAAGGACTCGCTGGAGAGGCAGCGCTGTGAGCTGGAGGACCGGCACCAAGCCGACCTCGCCTCCTACCAGGTGGGCAGGGTGGGGGCAGACAACCAGACTGTCTCACTCGCTGGGCTGGGCGACCTTGACCTTGGATAAGTCACTGTCCTCTGAACAGGGTTGTGGTGATGGAGAACATGGGCCTTGGAGTCAGGCATACCAGATATACCAGTATGTCTTTCTAGGTATGTGACTCCAGGAAATTTATCTGCCTCTCCAACTCCTTCAATGAAAAGGAAAAGAAAAAAAAAAAAAAAATGGCTACAGAGAGAGAAATATCGGTAGGCTACATGCCCCTCCCCCTACCCCACCCCCAAGATTGAGCCTGTATTCCGGGCATGTGCCCTGATCTGAAATCAAACTGGCAGCCTTTTGGTGCACAGGACAATGCCCAACCAACTGAGCCACACCGGCCAGGGCAAGAATGCCTACTTTGCTCTGGCCGGTTTGGCTCACTGGATAGAGCAAGGGTCCGTGGACTGAAGGGTTCCGGGTTCAATTCCAGTCAAGGACATGTACCTTGGTTGCAGTCTTGGTCCCCAGTTGGGGCACATGCAGGAGGCAACCAATTGATATTTCTGTCTTTCCCCTCCCCTCCACTCTTTAAAAATCAATGGAAAAATATCCTCAGGTGAGAATTAACAACAAAAAAGAATGCCTACTTTGCAGAGCTCTGAAGATTAAAGAGATAAACAACCTTTTTAAGAGATGGGAGTGAATGTTCTTAGCAGGGTTTGCTCACAAAGGGGCATTTGGTGAATAATAACCAATGTCTGTGAGTGTGGATAACCTGGGGAAGGCCTTGGCAGATTCCCTATTGAAGACAACTGGCTCAAGAAAATGGCATTTTTGCCCAGCCGGCTGGCTCAGAGGTTGTGTCAACTTGTGAACCAGGAGGTTAAGGTTTGATTCCTGGTCAGGACACATATCTGGGTTGTGGACTCAATCCCCAGTGAGGGGCATGCAGGAGGCAGCCGATAAATGATTCTCATCATTGATCTTTCTCTCTCCCCCTCTTCCTCTCCTCTCTGAAATCAATTTAAAAAAAAAAACAACAAACAAAAAAAAAAAACCAAAAAACACCCCGGCACTTTTTCTTTTAAAATATATTTTATTGATTTTTTACAGAGAGGAAGAGAGGGAGGGATAGAGTTAGAAACATCGGTGAGAGAGAAGCATCGATCAGCTGCCTCCTGCACACCCCCCATTGGGGATGTGCCTGCAACCAAGGTACATGCCCTTGACCGGAATCAAACCCGGGACCCTTCAGTCCCCAAGCTGACGCTCTATCCATTGAGCCAAACCGGTTTCGGCCTCCCGGCACTTTTAAAGCACTTATGCAGATAATATGTGGTGATGATCGAAAATTTAGAAAACCGAGAATAAAAAGGAGGTAATAAATGTCAGCCATAATGGCTTCTTTTAAGCATTGGTTACGCAGGCCCGGGGACAAGGAAGAAGCTTCCCACTCCTATTCTGTGCTTCTGTGTATCATCTCAGTGTCAACAACAGATGCCTCCTGAGCCCTTGACTGTGTGATGGACACTTTGGACAATGGGAGAGCCAACAGGGGGCCAGAGCAGACAAGGCTCTGTCCCTCCAGAGCATTTTCTAAGCTTAAGAGATCTGCAAACATTCAACCACCGTCCTACTAACCAGTGGTAACCCTTATTGGAGCCCGGTGTGTGCCATTCCCCAGGCCGAGGCTATAGCCACAGTTAAACGTTTGTTCCACGTGGTTTCCATGTCCGTAAAGGAGGCCCTCGTGGCTTTGCCAGGGCGGGTGTGGCTCCAGCTGGGGGGGGGGGTCAGGGCTGCTTTGGGTTGCGCAGCCCGGCCCGGCCTCTCTGGTGCTGAGGGCCAGGTGTTGGCAGGGCGTGAGGGGTATGTGACCTGTCGCCCTCAGGACGCTATCCAGCAGCTGGACGCCGAGCTGAGGAACACCAAGTGGGAGATGGCGGGACAGCTCCGGGAGTATCAGGACTTGCTCAATGCCAAGATGGCTCTGGATATTGAGATTGCGGCTTACAGGTGAGGTGGGCGGGGCCTTCAGGGAGGTGGGGAGCCCTTGTACTCTTACGAGGACCTAAGCCTGGGGTTCCAAGCTCCCCAGTGAGGGCAGCCTGCCTGTCTTAGAGACAAAGATGAACTTTTTTTTTTTTCCTATTGTGGTAAAATATACATAATATAAAATTTGCCACTTAACCATATTTATTTATTTTTTTACTTAAAATATATTTTTATTGATTTCAGAGAGGAAGAAAGAGGGAGAGAGAGAGATGGAAACATCAAGGATGAGAATCATGGACCGGCTGCCTCCTGCACGCCCCCTACTGGGGATCGAGCCCGCGCATGTGCCCTTTACTGGAATCAAACCCGAGACCTTCCCAGTCCGCAGTCCAACACTATCCATTGAGCCAAACCAGCTAGGATTAAATATAGTTTATTGATTTTCTACAGAGAGGAAGGGAGAGGGATAGAGAGACATCGATGAGAGAGAAACATCGATCAGCTGCCTCCTGCACACCCCCCATTGGAGATGTGCTCACAACCAAGGTACATGTCCTTGACCGGAATCGAACCTGGGACCCTTCAGTCCGCAGGCTGATGCTCTATTCACTGAGCCAAACTGGTTAGGGCGCCACTTAGCCATTTTTAAATACACAGTCCCATGGTATAAGTACATTTACATTGTTGTGCAACCATTTATCTCCAGAACACTTTTCATCATCTCAATCTGAAACTCTGTTCATTAAATATAACTCCCCACGCTCCTTTCCTCCATTCTCTCAGTCCTGGCAACTACCATTCTACTTTTTGAGATAAAAAAGAAAAAAGAAAAAAAAATATATATATATGTTGCCTGCCACATGTGCCCTAACTGGGGTTGGAGGGTTTGTGCCCTTGACTGGAATCAAACCCGAAACCCTTCAGTCTGTAGGCTGACGCTCTATCCACTGAGCCAAACCAGCCAGGGGCTGAGACAAAGACCTTAAGAGTGGCTTATGTTCATCCTGACAGTGACTGAGGGTTAAAGCTCCACACTCTCTCCCCAAATGTAGCAGCGAGAGGCCTGTCTGCAGGGAGAAGAGGTACTTGAGTGCAGGGTCCTTTACAATTGTCTCTCAAGCAGTTTCTTGACTCTCTGAGCAGGTGTTTTTTGGGGAAATGAAATAGGAGTGATGATAACACTACTATGGGGGGGAGCATTTGAAATCTTGCTCCCAGCATGTCGTCAGTTTGGCTCAAATAAACTTATAAAAATTCTCAAAACAGCCTGGCTGCCATGGATTAGTGGCTAAGCATCAACCTATGAATCAGAAGATCAAGGTTCAATTCCTGGTCAGGCATGTGTCTGGGTGGGGCTTGATACCCAGTGTGGGGCATACAGAATTTATTTAAAAAAAGAAAAAAGAAAAAAAAAAGTAGAAATTGCTGCCATCACCCTATCCCTAAAACTCAAAGGATGAGAATAGAAGGTGATAAGAGATCCGGAAATTCAAATAGGAACATTCTTAGACCTCTTAAACCCAAATTTGTAAGTATGAAATTGTCTTCTCATGCTCCCTACTTTCTTTTATTTCAGTTGAGGTAAATTTTGTTAAAATAGGCACTCTGTCTTAAGGGTAATTTTTCAAGGAAAAGAAGGTGTTTTATCTCCTAAGTCGCAGCTTTTGCTGCATTAAACAACAGTGCCCCTGGGTGTGAACTCCTGGGATGACTAAGGGATTTGCTCCATTCTCAAAGGGCCCCTTGTTCACACTCCTTCCTCTGCCGAAGTCCCTGTCATTGGACCTTCAGAGGAAGCCAGGAAGACTCCCACGTGACTGACCTGCTTTGAGTTCGCATTAATGTGCCCCGTTATCCACTCTGCAGGAAACTCCTGGAGGGTGAAGAGTGTCGGATTGGCTTTGGCCCCTTCTCCCTCCCAGAGGGACTCCCTAAAGTCCCTTCCACGGCCACTCACATAAAGGTCAAAAGCGAGGAGAAGATCAGGGTGGTGGAAAAGTCAGAGAAGGAAACGGTGATCGTGGAGGAACAGACGGAGGAGATACAGGTGACCGAAGAAGTGACTGAGGAAGAGGAGAAAGAGGACAAGGAGGAGGAGGGCGAGAAGGAACAGGGAGAAGAGGAGGAAGCAGAAGGGGGAGAAGAAGCCACAGAGTCTCCCCCTGCGTCCCCAGAGAAGGAGGCCAAGTCTCCAGAGAAGGAAGAGGCCAAGTCACCGGCCAAGGCCGAGACCCCCGTGAAAGAAGAGGCAAAATCGCCAGCTGAGGGGAAGTCCCCTGAGCAGGCTAAGTCCCCAGCGAAGGAAGAGGCTAAGTCCCCAGCAAAGGAGGAAGCCAAGTCCCCAGAGAAGGCCAAGACCCCGGTGAAGGAAGAGGCAAAATCGCCATCTGAGGTCAAGTCCCCAGAGAAGGCCAAGACCCCGGTGAAGGAAGAGGCAAAATCGCCATCAGAGGTCAAGTCCCCGGAAAAGGCCAAGACCCCGGTGAAGGAAGAGGCAAAATCGCCATCAGAGGTCAAGTCCCCGGAAAAGGCCAAGACCCCGGTGAAGGAAGAGGCAAAATCGCCATCAGAGGTCAAGTCCCCGGAAAAGGCCAAGACCCCGGTGAAGGAAGAGGCAAAATCGCCATCAGAGGTCAAGTCCCCAGAAAAGGCGAGCTCTCCGATGAAGGAAGAAGCCAAGTCCCCCGAGAAGGCCAAGACTCTTGATGTGAAGTCCCCAGGAGCCAAGACACCGGTGCAGGAGGAAGTACGGTCCCCTGCAGACATCAAATCTCCCGTAAAGCCCAAAAGTCCTGGCAAGGAGGAGGCCAAATCTCCCGTGAAGGAGGAGGCCAAGGCTCCCGAGAAAGAAGTCTCCAAGAAGGAAGAGGTCAAGGCCCCCCCGAAGGAAGAAGAGAAACCGCAGGAGGTGAAAGTCAAAGAGCCCCCAAAGGCGGCGGCGAAAGAGAAAGCTCCAGCCGCACCGAAAACCGAGGAGAAGGACAGCAAGAAAGATGAGGGGCCCAAGAAGGAGGCTCCCAAGCCCGAGGAGAAGCAGGAGAAGCCCAAAGAGCCCGCAGCTGAGGCCAAGAAGGATGAGGCTGAGGATAAGAAAAAAGCGGCGACTCCGGAGAAGGAGGCTCCTGCCAAGAAGGAAGAGGCGAAAGCCAAAGAGAAGACGGAGGCGGACAAGAAGGAACCAGATGACGCCAAGGCCAAAGGACCCAGCAGAGCCGCAGAGAAGGGGCCAGAAAAGCCAAAGAAGGAAGAGGCGTCAGCGGTACCCGAGAAAAAAGACGCCAAGGAGGAGAAGGCCACCGAGGCCAAGAAGCCCGAGGAGAAACCCAAACCAGAGGCCCAAGCCAAGGAAGATCCCAGCAAGGAGGCCCCCGCACCCAGCAAGGCCAAGACGGAAAAGGCCGAGAAGTCCTCCAGCACAGACCAGAAGGACAGCAGGCCCCCGGAGAAGGCCGCCAAGGGGGAGAAGTAGAGCAGGGAGAGAGGAACATCCAGAGCATCCAAAGAAACTCAGGAGGGTCTGGGAGTTCAAGGGTCAGCATAATAAATCTTCATTTTCCCTCCCTTTTCTTTATATAAGAAACTTTGCTTAGATGGCGGGGCTCTCCCTCACCGAAGTTGTTAGCAATATTATCACGGAAAGGCACTCCCCTCCCTGGCCCCCGTACCCCAAGCTCTCCCCAGACGATGGACCACCATGTTATGATAGCTTATGTAGCGGAATGTGACCTATGCCGAGTGAATGCCACACGTAAACACGTGACTGTAAAAACTTCCCCCCTCCTTTCCAAATAAGTGCATTTATTCCCCGTATGTGCAGCGGACAGGTGGCCGCAATAATGAATGAGCAGTTAGAAACACATGATGCTTGAGATGTCTTAACCTATTCCCAAATGCCTTCTGTTTTCCAAAGGAGCGGCCACGCCCGCGCCCGGAGCTCGCTCTCCTGGAAGCTGGGGTGGGTGGGGCCGGGCACTGAGCCATGCCAGGGCGCACTTTGCCACCGGAGACCACGTTCAATTGCTTCTGTGCAATAAAAACAAGTGCTTATGAAATGAAAATGCTGCTGCTGTGACTTATTCTCCCCCGTCGCAGGCCAGGGGGCAGAACCAAGGGCGGTTTGGATGTCACAAGACGACGCAGGTCTGAGCAAGCATCATGGGTCTCTTGAAATTCTGGGACCAGCCTCCCCCCTATTTTTCCACGTGCCAGGCAGGGGCTGGATGCTTTATGTTTAGGACCTTACAGACAGGTGGCCCGGTACATGGTTTATGGATCACCTACATCGGATCATCTGGAAGCCCTATACAGAGGCTTGATTCCAACTTTAGATCTGTCACTAAGCCTTGTTCTGGGAGTTGCTTCTTTCCCTGCCCTAACCAGATGGTTCTTAACCACTTTAGGATATTACAAATAATGTAACCAAGGCAAACTACCTTTCAGGTAGAGACCACCAGAAAGGCCTGTAGTCTGGGACGTGTCCTGGGCTTCTCACTAGTTTTAAAACCCTCTCTCCTTAAGGCCAAAGAATTCTTTTGTTCAGCCTTCTCCTCCAAGGAAGAAAAACTCTCTTCAGGAGGGTGACAGGGACAGCTCTGCCATCCCTGCCTAGGAAACCAAGCCTCCTCCCAGCCTTCACCAGCTGTCTGCAACCTTGTCCCGGCCGCCAGTTACCGGAGACCAGCTTTTGTGCTGAGTCAGTTTGGCTGCCTTCCAGCCAAGAGCGCAGTGGAGACTGCAATGCAGAGGCCATTAAAGGAACTATTTTTAGGCCCCGTTTCAATCTTATTCAGCACAGGCGGGGAGATGCAAGGCCTGAAGGTGGCCAGACCGAGGGGATGCTGGCAGGGATGCTTGATCCAGGCAAGTAGGTCAGAGGAAAGACAAGATCTCATTCTGTGGAGAGGAAGGAGCAACCAGAGGTTCATGCCGCTGTCCAAGGTGAGGAAGACAGAAGAGGGGGAGCTGCTCCCAGAGAAAGGGGTCCTTCTGCATTATTTGAGAAGTCACACACACACACACACACACACACACACACACACACACACACAAAAAAAGGGAAGAAAGAACAGTAACTTCCAACAAGAGACTAGTCAATGTGCACCTGGGAGCTCATTAAAAATACCCTTCCTCAAGCCATCTTGGACCACAACAGCTTTTATACCAGAGATCCACTTATCCAAGGATAGTCAGTACAGGTTTACTTACAGTGAACACACATGCACTGGGACCAAACTTCAAAGTATGTTGTGGGAGAAAAAACACATCTGATTGGGACTATCACATAAATAAAACTTACATATATTGAAAGTTGCTAAAAGTAAATCTTAAAAGGTTCTTAACACACACACACACACAAAACTTATTCTGGTGATCAATGTGCAATATACAAAAAACCAAGTGTACACCTTACACTTACATACGGTTATGTCAATTATATCTCAATAAAGCTGAAAGAGACTTCATCTTGTAGCTAGCAAACTTTAGGCTATACTTGCAAATAGGCAATAATTCTTCTGTATCTTTCCATCTTTCCATCTGACTTGTTAAAATGAATGAAGAAGGAACAGGATACTGATTTGGAGGAGTATAACTTTTCAGATGAACCTGCCCGAGAACACTCGATGCCACCCTTCATTTCATTCGATTTTAGCAGGATTACAAAGAGGTAATTTTGCAAACATTTTAGAAGGTGTTACCTCTTTCCCTGGGACTTCTCTTAATCCTTTGAGAGTCAAATCATTATTTCTGGAGGCACTCAGCCTGTCTTCATCAGGAAGATTCTCAGATGCCACCTGGCCTCCCTCAGCCAGAGCCTCACTGAGTGGTGGCTCTGCATGCGTCCCCAAAATCACTCGACTTCACCAAATCCTGCACGATTTACAATTATTCTTTGTGATGTATTTGTCTCCTCTTTGCACTGCAATGTCAGACGTTCAGAGAATGTGGCCATGAGAGGCACCGACACCACAGGTCCAGTGGAAAGAGGAGAGCAGGGGAAAGGAGCTTTGGGTTTCGTGCTATGGTGATTTGGTTTTCCCTGCCACCTCCTCATAGTACGGACTTGGAATAATACCTAGATCAAGCATGTCAAACTCCCAGCCCGTTGGCCACATGCGTTTATTTGGCTGGTGTTAGCCTTTGAGTTTGACATGCTTGACCTGGATAATGAGGACTGCCCAAAACAGAAACAAGTTAGGTGGGTTTGGCCACCCAGAGAAAGTCTATCCACAAATGCTTTCACACTGGGCTGTGGCTCCTACAGGCCCTTACAGAAGGCAAAGCCTCCCACTCCTCCCAAAAGAGCCACCAGAGAAAGGCCACTTGGTCAGATGATACTTTAATTGGTTAAAAATATAAAACCTGTCTCTGGAGTACATCAGGAGCCACATGTGGAACAGAAGAGAAAGCGGAGGGACAGCACTGAGGGTCCAGGGCAAACAACAGGCCGAGCAGGTCAGCGATGGCTGAAGAATCCTTGAGGATGGTTGTACTTAAACGGCTTCATCCTGCTGGGACCCCTGGAGAAACAGGAGAGGGGGGATCAGTTCATGCCATGCCCTTTGGGCTGACGAGAGAAATTACGGTTACCTGCACAATGCCATACAGCTGTGAGGGGAAAAATAAACGTGAGAAAAGCAGGCTGCAGAACAAGGTGTGATGCCATTTTTGTAAAAATGTCTCTATGCTTGCAAATGCACGAACACAGGCCTGGAAGGGCCCTCACTAACAATGGGCACTTCTGGGGACAGCGTGTGGGCACCCTCACTTTTTAATATATTTAACAACTGCTGACCTTTTTTTTTTTCTCTGTGTTTAACAATGTACATGGTTCAGTTCTATAATTTTAAAAAATAAAGAAAAAAGTTTTAAAGCCTCTTTTGCAAGGAGAGTCCCATGCAGGAGGGCGGTAAGGCTCTGAAGCCAGGGGGCGAAAAGAACCCGCACCAAGTGCCTGCTCTCAGATGAAAGATTTAAAAAAGAACTCTGACACGCCAGCAATTCCATGTGTAAGGTTCACAGATGAAGAAACAGTCTCAGGAGTTAAACTGTGTGCCCGGCATTATACGGCCAGGAGGTGGCAGAGCCAAAACTCAAGACCAGGTCTGACACCAAAGCCTTGACCTCAGGAAGCTTAGGTGCTTCCGCTATCATCCTGGGCCCAGGCAGAGCTTCCCACAGGGCCCCTTCCACACGGCTCCCCAGTCACTCATGTCCGGGTGAAGGGCCTCCTTTATTCATGTGCCTATGACTGACATTCAGTGGTAACCACTCGGCAACACCCTGGATCTTAGGTAGGGGGAGAAGGGGAGAGAGGTCATATACCTCCCAACACCAGCAGGGCACTGTCATTTGGGCAAGTCCAAGCATACATCTGATGGAGACCCTGCAGCCTGAAGGTACCCACCAGCCTCTGTCAAGTTTCTGTGCTGAATGTTGGGACTGGCTATGCTAAATAAAATTTGTTGCATTAAAAAAAGGTTCAGCCTCCTGGCTTGATCCCAAGGGTCAGAAGGACTTGAGGCCAAGAACCTCACACCTCGCCAGCCATGGAGTTAATTGGATCTGAGGGGCCAAGGCAGCACCTTCCAATGCCCTCAGAGCTCAGCGTGGGTGACATACAAAGCACTTCAGAAAGTGGGTCCTTGGGGAACTCTCAGATAACAGCCATGTGAGAGATCCCACCCCAGGAAGGTGCTGCAGCAGCGGGGAGGGTGGGAAGAGCTGAGGTCTCACCCAGAGCCACTGGGGAGAGTGAGTCCTAGAAGGCACCAACACCCAGCCACCAGCACCACCTCCCAGCAGCCACTCGAGGGTCAGAGCTGGTTATTATCAGAGAGTACAACAAAGCAGGCCAGGCGAGGTGACAGACACAGCGGGGAGGATGCTGGGGACACGTTCCCCAGGCTGGGACTGGCTGCCTGGGAAGGGGAGGGGCAGATAAGGCACCACCTAGACTGATAGGGACCAGGGGGCTGTGCTGATTAGAAAGAAATTCTAGCCCTTTCCCTTTCCAGACACAAACAGAAGGGTCGCTTGAGCAGTATGAATTGGGAGTTCTGGAATGGACTCTAACAACATGAATAAGGGGACAAAAGTGACAGAGAGGACCCCAAAGCGAAAATAGAAGTATCTAGAAGTGCTAGGAAAGCAGGCATTCTGGAAACTTTACATAAATGAGAGAGAATTTATCGTGAGCTAGACGGTAACATTTCCACTCCAGCCTATAGGAAACAGACTCTGAGCTGAGCTGAACTGATTCTTCCGAGGTGAGAAGCAAAGGAGAGACCTGTACTTATGCTGGTCTTCCTTAAGGCTGGTTCTTGCTGTCTAGACCCATTGCCTAAAGCTATGGTTCTCAAAGACGTGAGCGCCTTAGGAGAGCACAGCAGGCCTGGGGGAGGTGCGTGCAGATGAAAAGGCTTATTTGGATGGTACAGAGAGTATAAAGTAAAATTCAGCCAAATCCTC